TAATTAATTTATTTATTGATATTGATATTTCCTTACAAATAATAATCCATCTGGACTATATTATGAAAGAAACTCTATCTGTCAAAAAATTCAGGGTCTAAATGGAAATTGGGTTTTGACTTGTGTGTTCATTCATAAAATGGATAAACCAACTTTTTAGCTTCTTAATTTGACAAAATTTTCAATTTAATCATTGTATTGTTTTATCAATATTATCCCCTAAACTTGATAGCTTTTCCCATTTTTAGCTGTGGAACAATCCCCTAGTGATGCTCCATCAAAAATTCAAAATGACTAAAAAATCCAAGCTCAAGGATTGATGTGGGTAAAAAGTAGGGATCAAATTTAAAGGATTGTCAAGTTCAGGGCTTAAAAGTTACTATTATCCCTTCTTATGAGGAAAAATAATATTAGAAATTTGCTGTTTTTTGGCTGGCGGAAAGAATGGTGGTTGGGGTAAAATTTCCGGGTTTAGGAAGAAAAATAATAATAAGGCATTTGGTGACGTGGCCATGTGATTATGGGTCCTACATAAGGTTAGCCACTCATTTGAAAAGGAAATGTGACATGCATCAACATTCATGCCCATCATCATTTTGCTTCAATTGTGGCTAAAATCACTCCTCCTGCTACAACCTCTTGATGTATATGCAAACTTTTTATATTTGTAGATAATTTCCGGATTTCGGGTTTAAGTTATTTCGAGTTTAAATTATTTTTGAAATAAATGTTAGCATCTTCAAATGACCAAATCATACAAGTATTGAAAAAAACTCATTTATGTACTTCATATATAATACAGTTCTTCTCTCAAGCTCTAGATAGTACAATAGATCATTTTCGAACTTCGAATTTTTATTATTTCGAGTTTAAATTGTTTCTATTATCAAATGACAAAATCATACAAGTAGGTGTATTGAAATATTAGTACTGAAAAAAACTCACTTATGTACTACAATTCCCAAATCAAATCATCATCATCATCATAGAGATTATGATTTTACCACAACTAAGCCACTACTTTATATGTGACCATCTCCTTTTCACTGCAACCAAGGAGCACAAAGAAAAAAGAAGAAAATGAGGAGGCCGGTTCTGTTAACACTGTTCGTTTAATCACTTTATAGGCGAAGGTTTCCGCTTTGGCTTCCTCGCATTCGGAATAGCTCCGGTGGACTGTCTCTGGGTCGACGGTGACGGTATTAGTGATGGAACTGCACTCCCGGTTTTCAAACAAAGTGAAATGTAAATCACAAAACTGAATTATGTGCTGATAAAGGAATATCTAAATGCAGCTTACTTGATTTCTGTGGACTTGGTCTTTGCTGGAAGCAGTGGTTGTTTTAGGAACACAATGCGAAACCGAGTCGATCTCGGAACAATCACTAGTCGTGGCATCGATGCTGAAAGAATCATCGGTGGAGCCAACTTCGGACTGGACTCGTTGCTGTTCGTTCTATCGGTTGCCCTTTTTGTTTGCAGACGGTTTATTCGAGTTGTCTTGCTTGTTGGCCATGAGTTTATCGTCCTCGTTCGACTTGACAACCGCGAGAGGTGGCCAACGAGTCGGATTCGATAACATATCTTGGATTTCCAAACTCCCTCTCCTAGACGTGGTTGAAGACTCGTTCTGAATCATCAAGCAAAGTATATCATGTTATGCAAATCCCTTCATTGGTTTTTATCTATATTAATCAATGAAATCATTTGCATTTTCCGTAATCTTTATAGCACTTGAATAATCATTATCCTATAAGTTATGTCTTTTATCATCAGTTTTTTATATAAAAAATCAGGGTTTAGATGAATTGGGTCAATTTTTTTTTGAAGGTGATGTCGGGTGGATCAAATTAAGACTTGAATTGAAATTTTTAACCTAACCTGACTCATTATAGTATTATAATTATTTTTTGTATATTTGTAATAATTGTAATAATTTTTTATTTTATTTTTAGTTTAGTTCTTATTCTACTTAATAAAAATAACACATATATATGTACCATGATCTAATTATATAGTGTAAAATTAAAAAGTTTTACACCTTTTTAGGATCATTGGATGAGAAATTAAAGGTTGAGATTAACAGTACGAAATGAAAGATATTCACTGAAAGAATAGCGAGTTAATCTCAACCTTTTATTTCCCTTCATCGAACAATCATAAAAGAATGTAAAACTTTAAGTTTTATACCAAGTGCAAGTGGATCAACATCTTTTACATCTATATATATATGATCAGGTTGGGTGTAAGATTTAACTTAAAATTTAGGTCAAATTTAAAATTTTTAAACTCGGATTGAATAAATATAAGTGGAAAGTATTCCGATTAAATTCGAATAGCTAAAAATCCAATATAATCCTTGACCATTCCTAGTCATTAGGAAAGGGCAAATTGCGATTTACCACTTAATCCTTTACTGTGGCAAAAGCCACGAGATAATGTTCTCAAACTATTTAATTCACGAGATAATGCTTTGGTCATATTATTTGCTGAGATAGGGTGAAATCTACATTGCAATCGTAGGTTGCCATGGCATCCGAGCGACCTGTATGGTGTTTTGCATGAGCCATGCACGTCCGATGGGTAGGTCGCCAGGGCATCCAAGCGACATGGTAGGTCGCCAGGACATCCTAGCGACATGCATTATGGCGACCTACCTATTGGACGTGCATGGTTCATGCAAAACACCACACAGGTCGCTCGGATGCCATGGCGACCTCCTAGCTCGCCCGGATGCCATGGCGACCTTCGACTGCACTGTAGATTTCACCCTATCTCAGCAAATAATATGACCAAAACATTATCTCGTGAATTAAATAGTTTGAGAACATTATCTCGTGGCTTTTGCCCTAGCCTGTTTACTAAAATACTATATTAATTGGACAATAACTTTTATTTAATATAAGTTTTCACCCTTTACTATATTTAAGTTTATACTATTGGCTCTCCGTCTACTTAAATTAAGCATTTTGCTAAAATATTTGTGACCCAAAAATAAAAATAATAATGAAATAGTATAATTTTGTTAATAACTTAACATTATGATAAAGTTAATAATTATTTGATTATTTTCTTGCATTGGACTATCAGATTAATTATTTTATTTTGATAATTATTTACAATCATTTGGATATGATAAAAATAATTATTAATATGTTTATGTTTAATCGTTTAACGTTGATAATGATATTTGCTTATATCACTTACAGCTCTTATATCGATTTATTAGTAATTTAATATTTATTCATATAATTTTTTAATAAAAATAGTGGAAAGTGAACGTGGCATCTAAATCAAATAATAAAACATATTCTCAGGCCAATATTGACGGTGAAATTAAAAAAATATTAGTGGAATTAGAAAGCTGTCATTTTTCATTTAGTTAGTTTTAATTTTCTTTAAAGTTTAATAAGAAATATGAACGTTCAAATTGTTTTTTTTTTCATTTATATATTTAATTTTTTGGGTAAAGCACACAAATGATCCCAACTATAAGGTGATACTTTGTTGAATTCCCCAACTATTAAAAGTTATAAAATGATATCTCAACCATAGGGTGTTAGCTTGTTGAGTCCCTTTATTAAAAGTTACAAAATGATCATCCAACTATTCATATGTTTTAAACTTGTCATTTTTCATTGAAAAATGAATGCAATATGAGTCGGATGTTAACCTGTTGATTGTGATATGATAAAATCTGATCACGTAATCTCAAATGAGTGAACGACTGTCATATCTTAGTTAGCATGTTAACATCCAACTCAGACGACTGCCAAAATTTTAATGGAAAATGATGAGTTTGAAACATATGAATAGTTAAGTGACAATTTTATAACTTTTAATAGTCAAGGTACTCAACAAAGTAACACTCTATAGTGGGATGACTATTTATAATTTTTAATAATCATTAGACTTAATAAAGCAATGTCATATAATTGACGGACTATTTATATATATTATCTTAATTTTTTTTTATCAAAATAGATATCTAACTGACACGTTAATATTGTAACAATGTAAAAAAATAATAACTTGAGTGAAAAAATAATTTGAAGATTATTTTAAAAAAGAAAATTACCATTAAGCCAAAATGAAAACACTGATAGTGCAATTTCGGTGTCCATGACATGTACTCAAGCAGAGCCCAAGTCAGAATTACAGTTAAACTGCTTCACAGGGACCAAGGGTATTTACGTACTTTCGCATTTACATTCCGCGACGAGGTCACGAAGTTGCGTAAGCCATAATATTTATCATTATTATTAGGGTAAAACAACGTATAAAGTCATTCAGTTATAGATTTTATAACAAATATGTCACTTTTGTTTTCTAAGTTGTAAACGGATCACTCAATTAAAATATTATTATCAATAGATCATTTTGTCATTAAATATTAAAAGTAATAGTGACGTGACATGATATAATAATACTTTTAATCTTTATAATTTATAAAATTTATCAATTTATTCTTAATTCATAACAATTAAATAACTTTAACTATTTATATTTAAAACTTTACCATTTTGGTATTTGTTTTTCTCTTAAATTGTTTGTTATTATTTTATGAATATTTTATTATTATTTTTTACATAATAACTTTTAACATTAACTTATTACTACTACTACATAACAATATGTAATTATCTAACTATGTCTTTAATTTGATGGACTTATTTAATTTAACAATATCCTAAAAAGGACTAAATTAATAAAAAAATAAATATGAATGTTAAATTTAACGGAATATTTTGTATTAAGATAAAATTTATAAATTTTAGGAATTATATAGCAGCCATATTAGACATTTCTTTCAATTTTAACGATATAATGATATATTTGTATCAACATTTTAATTAAATGATCAGTTTGTAATATTTAGAAAAAAGGTGACATACTTGTTACCAATCTATAATAAGATGACCTTGGATGTAGTTTATCCTGATTATTATCAAAACGTTTTCTTATATTTTAATTTCCATTTATCCCTTCGAAAGAGCGAAAATATATATTTTTCAAGAAATTAACAACGTAAAAACCGGGAAAAAAAACAAAGTAACAGCCGAAAAAACAATTTTCCAGACATTGCAAAGCCAAAAATACCACATTTTTCTTTGTTTTTTCAGTTGTCTTGCTCCTCCAGGTAAGAATTTTCTCTATCTCTCGCCTTTATTTTTAAAGAATATTTGAATTATTGCCTCCTTTTTTGGTTTGGTTTTAATGAAAAAAATATATATGGCTGCTTTCAATTTTTGTTAATATATGTTGGATTTTCTTTGATTTTAAGCTCAAAGAATCTTGATTTGAATGGTTGGAAATATCATCCGTTTTCTTTCTCTTGAAGGAAAAGGAAAAACTTTAGGAAAAGGTAACGGTAATTACTTTTTGGGTTTGGTTTTTGGTGAAGTCTGATAATTTTTTTTTTCAATGTATGCTTTACTATGTTGATTTTTATGATCCGGGTTCTCTTTGTTTTCTAAAATTTTCTATGGTAATACAGATCCGTCGGTGATTTGTTTCCCTTAAAGGATTCGTATTTTGATTTGCATGGAGCTATGGAAGAAACAAAGGAGCTGTAGAATATATGGATTCATGATTTTTGGTGTTTATTTGTGAATCGAAGAAGGTTGATATTTATCAATTCGATTAGGGATTTGTTGTTGGGTGCTTTTCTTTGTTGTTTTGGGGTGCGAGGATAGATGGCAACGGGAGGGAAGGTTGGTCATAGAAGCAACTTTAAGAGAAGGGGTAGATCGAAGGACGAGGATTCGGATGGTTCGGATGAAGATTACGTAGTTTCCGACGAGGATAATGAGGAATCTGATGATGATGTGGAAGAGTATTGTTCTTCCGCAGATGTATGTGCATCGGAAGAGAGTTTTGGGGGTTTTGTCGACGAGGAAGAGAAAGTGGTGAGGAAGGCTGTTAGGTCGAAAGCTAAACGGATGCCTCTGGCAAGGAAGAGGAAGATTGTAGAGAGGAAAATGCGAAAGCAGAAAGTTGCGTTGGATGAAGAAGATGATGAGACGGAGGAATATGAGGTGGTGGTGGTGGAGGAGGAGGAGGAGGAGGGGGAAGAAGAAGATGAGGAGGAATATGATGAAGATGACAACGATGAGGAATTCACTTTGGACGAAGAAGATTGTTTTGATGAGGAAGAGGAATTGACTGTGACAAAGAAGAAAAACAGTATGAGAGTTCGTAAGAAAGGTTTGCGGAAAAAGGGTCCTCCTAAACAAAGGAAAAAGTTTAAGAAATCTGCTGTTTCTAAGAAGCTTTCAAGAAACGGAGGGAGGAAGAAACGATTGTTGAAAAGGAAAAGGAGGGTCGAGGAAGAAGATGATGAGTATTGTGATTTTATAGACAACACTTCAGTTGTGAGAAAAAAGAGCAAAACAAATGGAGGACGCAGAAACAAGGCGTATGTTGTACCGTCCGATTCAGATTTTGTATTGTCTGGGGCATCTGACTATGAGTATACCGTCTCAGAGGAAGAAAGAGAGCAAGTTAAAGAAACGAGCCGTATGTGTGGAAGTTTGAAAACTAGTTTGAGGAGTTCATCATCCTCTAAGATAATCGACGAGGTTGAGGAGCTAGGCCAGAATAAGAAACCTCCAGGTAGAAAGGGCAAGGAGAAGGTAGAAGAAAAGAAGGCTGAAGTAATAAAGCCAGTTTGTGGCATTTGCCTCTCCGAGGAAGATAAGCGAAGATTTAGGGGCACATTGAACTGCTGCAATCATTATTTTTGTTTCACCTGCATTATGGCATGGTCCAAAGTGGAATCTCGTTGCCCATTGTGCAAGCAAAGGTTCGAAACAATCAGTAAGCCTACTAGATCAATGGCGGGGGTTGATTTGAAAGAGGTGGTGATTCAAGTCCCCAAGTGTGATCAGGTATGTTATATTTCTCATAATAATTTTCTAATTATATATTTTTTTGTTTATTACTAGTGGTTTGAAAGGACATGTTGGTCGTATGTAGGTCTACCAACCGTCTGAGGAAGAACTCAGAAGCTATCTGGACCCATATGAGAACGTCTTTTGTTCTGAATGCCACCAAGGTGGGGATGATGAATTGATGTTACTGTGTGATCTATGTGATTCATCAGCACACACCTATTGTGTCGGTCTGGGGCGGGAAGTACCTGAAGGTAATTGGTACTGTAATGGTTGCAGGCCTGTAGCTCTTGGTTCTTCTAGTTCCCAAGTTCAAGATTCTTTGCCTGACCAGAGAACAAACAATTTGTACAACAGATTCTCACCTGTTGTAAATGTAGGAGAAAGTTTAGACTCCAACGTAGTGCCTTCACCTCATATGCCTTTAACTCCCGGTTTTGTGGGTCTTTCATCGCCTAGATTTCCTAGTGTAGATGTTACAGCTGGTTCTCCAGTATCTGGAGCAGGAGCACCGACTCTGATGGGTAGGCGATGGTTGCACCGCCAGATTCAAAATCTCCGTTCAATCAATAGGATGAATCTTATGGCTGGTAGATCCGACGGAATACCAGCTGTTAATACGGACATTGATTTTGTAAATTCTCACATTGATCAGAGTAGGGGACCAACAGTTCAACAAGCTAGGAAACAAGATGTGGGTTCTCAACCACAAATAGTGTTCGAGGAGAGGTTACAGGATTATCCCTCTTCTTCAGTGCAAGGCAGGGACTTCTTTTCTTCAAGGTTGGATCACTTAAGACGGCAAGCAGTTCAAGAATTGACAACCCCTTCGTTAAGTACACCTGTGAACTTGACTTTGTGGCCTGAACTTGCTGGTATGAGTTCAAACGGGCAACTCCCGAATTGCAGCAATGGATCAAACATTAGGCCTGACAGTCATGATTTGCCTTTTTCTGTTAGAGACGAGGATAATGTTTTGATGGCCAAGGAACAATTGCATGCAATGGTTAGAAGCCATTTGAAAGCCTTTTCCAGTAGAATCGATTTAGGTAAGTCGAGCTCCGCCTTGAAACTATTGTTTGTGAATGATTTTTGCAAGTGACTTCAGTAATTGAGTTCTATCTTGTTTTTGGAGACTTTTCAAAGCCTTCTATATGTATATGCAGACAACGGCACTCTCAAGGACATAGCAACGAGTTCCATGCATACCTTACTGGCTGCTTGTGGACTTGAGCATAGGAGTAGTGAGGTTCAAATCGTGCCTCCGTCGTCAAATTGTGTGCACGTTGAAAGAGTGGCAGCTGGACAGGCGAGCTTAATGAAAGGCTGTTGCTTAACTTGTTTCGATTCTCTTGTAAAAGATGTAGTAAAGAGGATCATGGATGCAAGATCCCGACGGTGGTTAAGTTTAGGTCTTTAGATCTTCGATGTGGTAAATGTATCTCTCAGCGTATTTTTTACTTTTCGAGTAGGATTTAGAAGCAAATTTAAAACACCAGCATTTTTTCAGTTGATTTATACTTACAATTCACTGACAATCTGACATTGAGCCCAAAATGTGCTCTTTTCTCATTTGATCACCATAATGGATTGTTTAGAAGGGCAAAGTCATTTTTCTGTACTGCATGCTACTTGCATTTAGTGCTCATCTTCTCCTCTGAAAAAAAGGCGTGGGCTACGTGTACCCTTTCGATTTTGCATCTAGTTTGTGCCGGGAAGTAAGACAGTCTTGCTACAGCACAGAGAGCCATTTATGCACACCGAACTATTCTGTCTGCTGATTGCCATCGGACGAATAAGGATATAGGGAAAATGAGGGGAGCTTGATTTTGGATATGTTACTTGAATGCAACACACCATTCTAGAATTTAAATTTATTTTTCTTATTAAATATGATCATGACCTGAAATTGAAAAGTTGAAGTGGAAATCTGATAATGTCCTAAAAAACTAACGAGTCCACACATGCTACATATATTACACTCATCCCTACACCTTATTCCAACATTGTAAGACATCAACATAACCCGTACGTACAGCATAACAAACCCATAGAGCTTAGCAGTTTGCCCTCTTAACTGTTAACCTGACGCCCGTAAGGGATTCGGGTCCACAATTGCAGCCAACCAACCTTATGGCATCAAAAGTTATCATCGAGAATTGTGGATAACAGCAGCCCTCGAACAAATTCACATCTTTTTGCCTTCTCTTCCTGATCTTTGACTGAAAGAGGAGTTGACTGCACATTTCTGTTATCAAAGCCAAATATTAGAAGAGAAGGCTGATAAAAGCTTTAGGAAAAGTTCATTGCCAGAGGAGAAATCCAATACTAGATCATCATCAGTCTCATTGGAATAAGGTTGCGATACCGAAGCAGATGAGAAAGAATAAATGCTAACCGAAAACTGAGAGACTCAGCCTAAACACTATTAAACCATTCATATTAGTAATATGGTAAGGCAGATGTACAATTTGACACTAGCATAGAGTTTTATAGCCTGCTCCAACTATCCTGCTTAAAAAACTGACCAATATGCGGAACTTTGAAGAGAGGAAAATAAAGACCGTGTACAGAGATGGGGTCCTTGACTAAAGATATAGGCTGAAATCAGTAGTTCGAACCAGCAGGTAGAGATCAAGATCAATGGCAATAGAGGTCAATCTGCTTAGTTTTTGCTTTAACAAGTGTAATTTTAAGAGTTGAATGAATCCTCCAAGCACATGACATAGCGCTGAACATCTAGTTCTATTTTCTTGGGAGGCATAATAAGTATTTACATTTCAATATTAATAAAATAAAGTCATTGCATGCTAATAAATTAAATGTATGTTGAATTTGCCTCCTTTTCTCAAAGAATGGCATTGTAGATGGCTTCTCCTTGAGAAAAAAAAAGGGCAACCAGATTTTAAACAAGATTCGCCACTTTGTCTACAATTTCAAGTTAGTAACCTAATAAAAGACCACGTAAATTAAAAAGAATTGCATCAAGCTACCGGATGATAGAAAGAACAATAAGATTCTAAACACACTACAACTTACCTCTCTGACTTATTAACACCTGAACTTTTCTTAGTTAAGCTTATTCCGATAGAAAACTGAGGCTGAACACTAACACCATCATCAACCATGGGCAAAATAAACGAAGACAACAATGGATCAGGTGCGGAGTTGGATGAGGGTGCCATACAAGAAGAACTTCCAAAGAGGGACTGCATGTTTCCTTCTTGCAGCTCCTTCCTCAGAAGAGAAAGTGTTGAATGAGATCCACTTCTACGCGATTTCCGTTTGCGCTGCATGTAACCACTTGTTAAGGAAATGAAGATATATGAATCGGGTCCTAACAATGAAGCAACTGTCGTACAACAAAGGCCACAAATGAAGGTAGGAATGCTGCTACTGCCCCACAATAGTGGGATGGGGGCAGAGAAGTCTTCTTGCATACCAAAGGTGATAGATATTCTAGTAAGATTGAGATCCAATGGTAAAATTCTACAAAATTTAGCAGAGTCCAACATGATTTCAAGGTAGACGTCACATAAAGAGCAACGGATTTAAACAACTTAACCATGGATTCCAAAGATATTTCAACATAAAGAATAGTAACTAGATATGCACGGATACCTTGAATATATTTCCATGTTGTAAGGTTATATGTGCAACCATATCTACTCCCACCCTCAATGCACAGACAGGACATACCTACAAATAGAAGCAACCATTCATCAACAAGAGTTTAGATTCAGTAAACACTATCCCAATTATAATAAAACGCTCTCGCACACCGAGCAACATAAGAATCTATAAACAATAACTACAAAACTCCTTTACATCAAACTTACATATAGAAGGCCAGTCTACTATTTGTCAAGCCAGGCAAGGATTAATATAAAATGTGTAAATCAACAAGGGAGCTAATTTTTCCAGTTACCTGAACTGGAGCTTGTAGTCCAAACTAGTTCATATTATAACCATTACAAGAGCCATTTAAGTAAAATAGCAACTTTTGAAGCAAAAGCTTAGAACTTCAACAACTTGGATCCATAACAAACAACCCAGTTCCTTTTAATTGGACTCATAATAATTCACAGCTTAACTCAGTTAAGCGAGCTTTGAATAATTCTTAACTAGAAGTACTAACAAGATAAACTTGCTTATAAGTTATAGAAAATATCAGAATTAAAGAAAAAGGGGAAAAAAGGATTGAGAAATACCCCATTTTTAGCTTCCGCGGGATGCACATCATCAATGTGACAGCACAAGCCGACGATATCGAAATACTCTGAACAAAAAGGGCATGGGAATTCCTCTCTTAAATCGTCTTCTTCATCCATTTCTTCAAACCCCATAAACATATCTGCACTTTCAACCCATTTCCAAACATTAAATCAACTCTTTTAGAAGGCAAAAAAAGAATATACTAAAAAGACTAATCTTTTCTTAAAGGGTTTCCAAGTTTCTTTCTTTTTTAATGGTTTTGAAGGCCTACCAGATCGTGATTGAAGAGCTGATTGATGATACCTCCTAGTGGTTGAAGAAAGACAAACAGTCCATGAATCAGCATCCACTTTTAAATCAGTTAAATTTCAACCGAGAGAATAAGAAAAATGAAATACTAAATTTCTGGGGTAAAAAATCAAATCTTTTATACTCTGATCTTGGCTTTGTGAAGTTCAATTAGCAAAAATCCAAGAAACTAGAAAGGAGGCAAGCTAGGTCTTTGGGGTTTGATATTTGAGAAAGAGAAGCAGCTGCTTTTTTTACGTGGAGATGGAAATAGTAAGTGTTAGCGATTTTATATAAAAAAAAAATCTTAATTTATTTATCTTTAAGGTTTTATTCTAATTCATGAGTATATCAATATCTAATAAATTTAAAATTAAATTATTTTAAAATTTTTAACCGCTTGCTCCCTTTTCTTCTTTAGCTGTTGACGGAGACACCAACTATTTTTTTGTCGCTAATATTTCTTAATTTATTTTCTTATATCATATTTTTATTTTTTTTAGTAATTTTATTTTATAATATATTTTACTTTGTTTTTATAACACAATTTTTTATACGTTTTCGGTCATTTGATCGTTGTTTTCGGTGAAATTATTTCTTGCTTTAATTATGTGTGAACTTGTTCAGATATAAATTAGTTTAGCTTAATGGTAAAAAAAAATTATTAGTAGGACAATAAAGGATCGTCAACGTTTTGCAGTAAGGGTACGGCCCCCATCGGTCTGCCACCGTCCTGGGTAGATGTTTCTGGAGAAATAGCCGCCAATGTGCAACGTGCGCGGGCTAAAATGGCCGAGTTAGGCAAGGCTCATGCAAAGGCTTTAATGCCTTCATTTGGTGATGGTGAAGAAGATCAACGCAATATTGAGAATCTTACTAGTGAGATAACCAATCTGTTGACGAGATCAGAGAAGAGATTACAGAAACTCTCTGCTACTGGAACTTCTGGGGATTCAAATGTCAGGAAAATTGTTCTGGTAAGGCCTAGTGGCTATCAAATTCATTTGTGAATTGTGAAGCTCTATGTTCAGGTCAAGAAATGTAATTCATTTAAGCAAGCATTCGTATGTCACTTATTCATTTAGCATGGCGATTATTTCTTGCTTCTTGGTGTTTTGTCTATTGCCTATTGGCCTAAATTTTACAAGTAGCAGGTTTTGGAGAGAATGATATTAACATGATGCAGTGTCAAGTGCTCCTCTCTATCACCTTTGTTGGCATCTTTTAGTTTTCTAGCCCATACACCTGTGTTTTTGGAATGTAAAAGATAGTACATAGTAGTGTCCGACATCTGGTGTTATTCTTTGATTCTCCAAGGGCTCTGGCATTTTACATGTGTTGTTAATCTCTCAAAGATGTTCTATTCTGGATTGTACTTTTGTTTGTATTTCTTTCTTTCGATGCTTTTCTTCTTTTCGGCAGCGTCAACTTGCCACTGACCTTCAGAACCTTTCAATGGAGCTCTGGAAGAAACAATCAACTTTTTTGAAGCGCCTCAGGCAGCAGATGGAGGTAATAGAAGAAACCTTCCTCTTGGCAATACAACATGTTACTGTATTTTATTAAGTTCTGAATTCTAACTAGTCGAACAATTCAAACTTAGTGCTTGATGTTTTCAGTGTAATTAAATTATTGGTTTCTTGTGTATGATCAGGAGCTGATATGGAGATGAATCTAAATGGGAATAGATCTAAAGAAGAAGATGATGAATGGGATGATATGGTATTTCTTTAAACCATCTCCTGTTCATGTTTCCATTATATGATCCATCCGATCTCATTTCAGTAAAGATGAGTTTTAGGGTGCTAAGCTCAAATATCATGTTAGGATCTTGGAGCTCAATTGTATTTTGGATATCAAGATATTATGTCTTATATTTGATTTCAGTTAGGTGTCATATTCTAATCTTTCACAGTTATGTTATTTAGATGTTTAATGAGTCAGATGGCAGAGCTAAAACAAAGTGAGGCATATACAGTTGAGAG